CACGCTGCAGGTTTTCCTGCGTGAACCTGTTGAAACCCTTCAGTGCTTCTACCCAAGTTGGCTCCAGCTGATGGATCCAGGTATGCAGACAGGAGTCGAGCAGAGTCTGACACGTTCGCCTGCATGGCAAGGTCGCCGTCATGCGCTCGTTGATGCCGCTCAGACACACCGAGCACGAGTAGTAACGAAACATTTGCCTGAGGCACGTCTCCTGGTTAAGGCCTGGCAGGAACTCCTCGGCTTTGGCACGCGAGAGATTTTTCAGGGTCTCCCATAACATGTCCATCACGAAGAAACTTCCCCGAATTTGGTTCGATGCCAACTCCAGCTGCAATCCAACTCGAACCGGAATGTCGCTAAACGGTTCTACCTTAAGAAATGCGTCACGAACGCATGCCGAATAATTAGCCTTGAAGTTGTATCCTCTTGGGCAGTCAGCGTTGATTACGCAAGCATAGACAGGAGGGAAGATGGTGACGAAAAATTTCTCGACGATTCTTCTTACCTTTGACATGGTGTTTCTTCGCTCCTGACCATCAGCTGTTTGACCATTTACGTCTTGCATTAACATGATCGTTCGCAGTTGCTGAAATAAATGCGTTATTGCACTCCGAACTGGCAATGCGATCCGAAGAAAATGTTCTGCAAACATGTCGTTCAGTTCTCGCTCTGCGTTGTATAGATGATGATTAACCAGTTCTAAAATTTATCATCGTTTCAGTTTCATTCTTTGAACAAAAATCAGCAGCACTGTAGGCAGGAATGCTTATACGAAATACCTCATTAAGGACTCGTTAACGTCAGATTGCGTGATGAATAACAATGTCTCTCATATTAAACTCCAACATCATTAGTCACACATCGGCAAAGGATCATTATGAATACCTTTTGCGTGATCTAGATGGCGGCTGTCTCAAAAAGTTTAATTTAACGCCACTTACCGTTATCCACTTCATAGGAGTTTAACCAACTTAAAAATTTCATTTGACCGCCGTGCATTCCTGCTTCTTTGAATCTTTTTCATCGGCTGAAACGGATATGTAGAAATGGTCCAATCGTCTGTGGAACTCAAATTCTTATATATAGCGAATTTATTAAACCATATGGGTTTTCAGCGACTGAAGCATATGAATGCAGTCGCATTACGCTGTTATCAGGCTCAGTGGTAAACCTTGTAATTCGAGGTTTGTGTCAGGTGTACGTTATGCGTTGGATTTGATAATTATGTTGCTGTATTGTCATATGTACGCTGAAATAATCAAATTTTGCTTTTGCCTAGGCAGAACATCCTTGGTTCGCGCTGTAGACTTTTTTGCACTTTACCACAAGGGTGCCGCTTTGTGTATCGAAGAAAGAAATATTCTTCTCCAAAGGCGGATCTGTTGATCTCTCTCAATCCTATTTCTGCATGTATAATGCTAGCTTCATAGTTGACGTCTGCTGTGTTTCAGTTCCCATGTGAGCAGCTGGCTGGTTGAAGTAAATGTTTTATGCTCATTCAATTTGTCTGATACGACCAACAACATTTAATTAATCTCAACGTCTACTGAGAAAGGTGTGCTTGGAAGATAATAGAGTCATCTATTAAGGCGTCCTACCATTTAACTCGAATTGTCTGCCATGTACGCATCGAAGCTAATGTTGTTGCATGCAGTTCAGCCGTGGTTCTTGCTATTTCGTTCGAGCAACTGTCTCCATGTTATACAGCAACAGTAGCCTAACATGGTCAACATACAGGCGAATCTAACTCTGCCCCTTGCCCAAATAAGAAATGAAGAGGGTTTAAGACCGTGGTGAAATCTCCCATAAAACTT